TCGCCGCCTTGGAATGTTTTGAACACTTTGGAATTACAGGCAAGCCACTCGCGTTGATGATTTCATACTTGACCGATAGATACAAGACTGTATGCATACACATGAAACTCTCACATCCAGTCTACATGGAATACAGTGTACCTCAAGGGTCTGTCCTTGTACCCCCAAGAGCTATGTGATGTATACAAAACCTGTCGGAGAAATCTGCCGTAAACATTAACTAAACAACCATTTCGTCGGAGATGACTCACAACTCTATCTATCCTTCAAACCAGTGACTTGATTTTCAGTTCAAGAGAATATAAACCGTATTGAACGATGACTTGATGATATTGTAAGTTAGATGAATGTCAACATGCTGAAGCTTAACGGCGACAAAACAGAATTGATCATTTTCTCATCTGAACGCACAACCTGTTTCAGATTTTACAGTGACAGTCGGCGGTTCTAAAATCAGCCAATCATATAGTGCGCGCAATCTTGGGGCATTTCTTGACTCGAACATGAAGATGGAAGGAACTACATGTAAATAATGTCTGTAGGAACTGTTATGCACAATTAAGAAAAATTGGTCACATCAGACCCTATCTAACTGTAAAAGCAACAAAATCTCTAGTAAATTCTTGTTACCTCTAGGTTAGACTACTGTTATGCACTGTTATATGGAGTCTCTTAGCACTCAATGACAAAGTTACAACATGTTTAAAATACAGCAGCTAGAATTGTGACCAAAACACTCAAATACGACACACAACACCTACCTTACGTGAACTTCACTGGCTTCCGGTAGAGTATCGGGTCGAATATAAAAGTTTGACTTATACATATAAATCCCTCAACGATCAGTCACAAGCCTTAATAAAAGACATGATAGACATATACACTCCAGCAAGGAATCTGAGGTCCCAGAATAACTCAGTGACATTAGTTGTGCCTAAATCTCGGACAGTACGATATGATGACAGCTGCTTCCAGACAGCCGCAGCGAAATTATGAAATGCGATACCACCTGACATACGAGACTGTAATATCTGGCCAATCTCAAAACACATTATTTCATTTACTTCTATGGATGTTAGTTTCATAAAACAACATACATGTACTACTTTGGCTATATTACCAGTGTAAATTGTGTCTTTGATTTTGTGTGTTAGGGTTCTACTTTATAATTGATTTCTTTTTTACTTTTGTTTGTTCCTTTTTTAACAATCTTATTTCGTTCAAATCTTTTATAGGATTTTTTTGTTAAATTGAGTCTTGATTTTGAACCGAATGTGTCTGTATTTCTAACCATTCTTTACTTGTTTTTGATTATTATTATTGCTAAGTAGGCTTTCATTATTAATATTGTACCTGATGACATATATATGATCATGCTTTATCATATTTATGTAAAGCACTCTTGAACACTTATTATTTATAAGAAGAGTGCTATAGCAATGTGGTATATAATAATAATAATAATAATAATAATAATAATAATAATAATAATAATGTACGTTTATTCAACGCTTTCAAGTGTTTAAAAAGTATTCATCGAAGACACGTATAATGGTTGAGCAATATCTTGATAATTAAACATGAACTTTATTAAGATCTTATGATTTAAATATTACGAAGTCTTATTTCTCTGATTAAACAGTACGATACTATAGAGCCAGTAGACTTAATCCTTCGCCATTTTACCAAATAAATTTGCAACCTTACAAAAACAGATCATTATTTACAGGCGCATTCTGGTCAGTTTGTAACTTAATGTCTTGCAAAAAGATTTTGGTCGATGATATCAAACGTAAGATGAAAATATACTTTGGTGAAGATGCATGATAAATTATTATGTTTACTATGGTAACATAGATTATACCACAGTTTTGTAATATTATTTATCTTTTAGATCTAGAAAACTTTGCAAGGTATGTTTCGAAATGAAAGTAGTGGTTACCTTACACTTACGTTACACATTTATATATGCTTTATTGATATGCAAAGATATACCGAAATTTTCAAGTTCATATCAATTGAGGACATCAATTTTTATATATCATGAACACTGAGTGTACCAGAAAATTTCGGGATTTTGTATTCGGTGTCTTTCGATATGCACGGTATCGTAAACGCTATTGTAGTCTTGTGATTTTGGACAAAACTTATTGAATGTCATTTTAATACGGTAAATGCTTTTGTTGAGTAAAATACTAACTAGGAAAATATTGAAAAGTTTACAAGCAGTGTTAAAGGTTCATTGGCAGAAAGTTCACAGATCTAAAATATCCGAGAAATTAAAGAAGAAAGTTTGTTCCCAATACCCTTTATTTTACCATTTGGACGTGTATACGTTTCAGAAAGATCCTTATTATACTAATAATAGAATGACCAATGAGATTCCCTGATTTCAGTTTTTAATTTAAAAATGATCAATGAAAATCCTATTCATATTCAATTCTTCCCTGTTTTACAGGAAGTCAAACCGTTCTTATTCATAATTATGATACATTAAATACTACAACACCATGCTCCGTGTTTAACTGAACTTTTTATCTTAAACGCGGTTTTACTATATCACTACTTTGTAAGAATGTGAATGGGATATTATGCAAACAGGAAGTTTAAAAAATACATTAGGCTACACTTTTAAAAATGAGATATTTTTTTGCAATGAGTTTTGTTTGGATGATAGTATTGCTTAACATAAAAGGTACTATGTTCACTAAATTCTTTGCATATGAATTATAAGATTTTATTGTTAAACACATAGATACTTATTATGGTTTGGACCCTTATATTCAGCAAATAAATATCTATTGAATCATCTTCGTCATGATATACAAGTATGTTTAGTTAACATCTTAATGAAATATAGTGAGATACTTTTTGCTGTAATTTACTTTTCTTTGCTGTCAGCATGCAAACTCTAATTATTGGGGAAGATAATTATTTGCTGTTATCTGTCGATCAAAGACAATCAGCTAAATCCTGGGATACAATTTTAAGGTGTCATTGTAAATGACAGATACATATGTTGTCAGTATTTACGAGGGTTGTTCGGGAAGTTCTGAGAATTGTTTTATAGTACACGTTGTAGTCGGGTTAGCGTAAATATAAATATATACGCATTTATTTCAATATATACTGTACAGTATCTGAAAATATCATCATCATACACACAGAAACTAAAACATAATAAAAATAGTAAATAACCATATAACAAACACCCGGAGCACGCCGACGTCATTTGCAACGTCATGCGACGTTAAAGTCCGTCGATCGTCGCACCTTTTCAAAGTAGTCACAGGCAATTTCGATGCATTTCCTGTGTCGGCTGATCCACTTATTGTATGTTTCCACGTACCAGCTATCGGTAAAGGACGAGACTATAGCTTGCGTATGCTTAACAAGATCGTCAGCTGAGTCAAAGAGTTTTCCACGCAGCTGTAATTTGAGCTCCGGGAACACACGGAAGTCCATCGGAGCGAGGTCCGGGCTGTATGGAGGGTGCTCTAAGATCTCAAACCCCAAGAGGCTGATCTCTAACTGGGTAGATTCCGCTCTGTGGGCCGGCGCATTGTCTTGATGAAGTATGATGCGGTCATGGTCCATGTGGGGACGCTTCTTCCATATCGCGTTAACGAGATCCCGCCTCAGAACCTGTAAAAACGCATGCGGTTAAAAATTTGATTTGCACTTATCTTACTCAAAACTTTTATATTTTAAATGTTTAATTTTTATAAATATTATATGTTTATCAATAAATATGTTTTAAAATATATTATAATTAAATGTATACTTTTAGTTACCTTTGAATAGTAAGCCGCCGTGACAATTTGGCCATCCGGAACTCTGTGTTGCAGAATCATCCCGTGCCGGTCCATGAAGAAAATACATGTGTTTTCCCGCACTTTTCTGCACCCGGGCTTTCTTTGGGGAAGGTGTACGCGGGGTTTTCCATACCGATGACATAGCCTTAGTCTCTGGATCAAAGTGGTGGAGCCAAGTTTCGTCAGTTGTTATTATTCTGTCTGAGAAGGCATCACCTTCGACGTCATAGCGTGATAGAAATGCCTGAGAGCATCGCACCCGACAATCTTTTTCATTGTCCTTTAGCAACCGTGGTACCCAACGTGCACTCACTTTAGACATACCGAGCTCTTTTGTAAGTATTCCGTGTACAGTAGAAACTGATACGCAAAGTTCATCTGCAATAGCTCTAACTTCTGTCGCAATTTATCATGTCTTTTACCGAGTCCTTAATTGAACATGCAACAACAGACTGCCGACCGCATCTAGGATCGTCTTCGATCGAGTTTCTTCCTTCTTTAAAACGAGCATGCCATCTATACACTGTAGCCGGACTGCATTTCTTGTATTTTCCTGTAGAATTGATCATTTTCATTGTTTCTGTGGAAGACTTTTCCAGCGCAACACAATATTTCACGATGCTTCGCAATTCAACGTCACCTATCGACGTCATGTTGTTTACTCAGTGGCTCTGGGCAACAGCTTTAAAACAATGTTGATCCGTTGAGAATTTTAAATAACGTTATGATATTTTCAGGAAATGACGTCATGACGTTCCGCTGCTGACCAGCGTTTTCGCGCATTTTTTACGTTATCAAAATTACGAAATATTATTAGTGTAGCCCGTTATACCTTTCTTTAGAGTCGAACTATTGTTGTCTGATTCTATTCAATTTTTAGGAATAGTTCTGTAATATGCTAATCTTAGTATGTGCAAAATATTACGTCTTAGAAACAAAACATATAGGAGATATGACAAAATTCCCAGAACTTCCCGAACAACCCTCGTATATACGACAATTAAAGTATTTCTGTTTTATCATTTAAAAAGAAAGAAAAGGGGTTAACATATTTGCGTTTCATTTATTGTTAATATAGACTAAGCAGAAATTATTCTGGAACAAAGTCTAAGAACTACAGAACAGTTTGAAAGTAATTCTTGAACTAAAACATATCATCGTCTAGAGCTAAACAAACTTCGTCTTATATTTGTAAATTATTTTAGATGCAGAATGTGAAAGTAGTGTGCAGGATCCAAGTCTTGTTTTATCTCCAGCAATGGTCGATGAACACAGTCCGCAAACAATGATATGTCAATGCAAAAGTAATCTTAGCATTGCATCAGTTTCGTGGTATGCAAATGATTTAATTCAAGGTGCTTTAAGAGTTAACGGATCATGCCTGAAACTGTTTTGGAGTAATGAAAAACTTCACAGCTATTCATGTGACGTTATCAAGAAGACTTTTAATCTCACAATCATGAATGTGAGGAGAAGTAACAGAAGTGATGTGTGGAGATGTGGAATTGCTTTTAGTGGGTTAATTGAACGTGGAAGGAGTAATGTTGTTAAACCGGCATTAAAAGGTAACACTATTGAATTGCCAATATACTAAAAATATAAAAATATATTATTTTTAAGTAAAAATGGTTTCCGCTCTAACACAACCATGTGTATTGCATTTGAACGAAAAGAAAAATAGTACGATTTTAACAGCAATAATATTTTTTTATTACAGTAGTTCATGTGATTGATAGTTCATGATAAAATGCTTGCATTAGGCCTTGAAATAAAAAATCGAATTTACTGATAAAGAAATCGTTTCATTTTCATTCAAAAACTTTACTGGTGTTTAAAAGCACATTAATAAAGATACTTATACATTCCTCAATAAAAGGCTAAAATGTGTATAAAATTGTTGTAATGATACATTTAATGCAGTTTAGAGGCTTAAATTTTTCGAGGGATCACTTTGTTTCCAGATTTTTAAACTTCGCAACAGCAGGTGTCAAGTGCTGTGTGGCAGCTGTAAAAACTTGCCCCCTACTTCACTTCAGTGTTGTTATATTGTTCTGGTCCTTCGGGATCATTGATGCCAACACTATTAAGTGTTGAGAATTGAGTACCGCTCAAGCCGGTGCTAGGGGGCGTGAGGGATGTTGCACGTTTTCATTATCCCTCATGTACAGACTCAATAAAACCGAGTCTGCAATTCTCTTGTAATTTTGTTGTGATTAATGCTTCCGAGGGATCACTTTGTTTCCAGATTTTTATCATCTTGAAAAAGTAGCGCTTGCAGTAAAATAATTTGCCACTAACTAACTAACTAACTAACTACATTAAGTTAATTAAATGTATTTAGACGTACATACAAAATACTGAATCACTTGAACTATACTTATCGAAAAAATGCTGAACAGATTTATGGCAAATTGGTACTCTTTAAAAATACCTTTGGAAAATTATAGCTATTTTGGGCTTAATTGGTCTATGATAAAATAGATTAAATGTGTAGGTCGAACTTTATTAAATATTGTAGATATGTTTCTTTTTAAAAGTTCCAATCACACTGGTTCAGATAATAACCCATCAAACAGAAAATGTAATAACCATCGAAGAGAGTGTGTCACATCAGTTCAAATGTGTCACATCTGGAGGGCTACCAGAACCAATAGTAAAATTTTACAACGATTCTAGAACGCCAAATGATACCAGTGATGATATAGAGATAACTGCAACAGTTATTTCAGCATATAGCCAGTCTTATGATGATCTGATAATAACAACAAGTGTCTTGACAATCATAACCTCAAAGTTTGACGATCAAATCAGCATATACTGTTCAGCATACAGCTCCCCGGACCAGACACCATTATATTCTGCTCGAAAACTAACGCTCAATGTCCTACGTAAGTCTAAAAACTTTTTTTTCTTCTTTTCATTCGGCAAAAAATATTGTAAAAATTTTAATTTTCAAAACCTTAATATCAAACCTTAAAAAAGTAAACAAGCCGAGGTCAGTCAGTCTCCACAAAACGAATAAATCCTTCAAGCCCGTTGTAGCAAATTAAAGGTCTAGTTTGTCATTATTTTTCTGTTTATTGTTTATTGTATTTTCAATGAGTTATTGATATTATATATTGCAAAATTTAATAGATGGTCCAGATGGTCCAGCCGTAATAATAGGATTAAAAAAGGGTGTTCCATACCGTGTAATAGAGAACAGACAAGGACAACTTACGTGTGTTATCACAGGAGGAAACCCCTTACCAACATTAACATGGACCTGTTATACTATAGGAACAGCAGATAAGGTTGATGATAAGACAGTATCAAAGACAGCTAGATGGACAGCAGTTCGTGGGCCAGACCTAAAGTGCACGTGCTACTATTCTCATCCGACGAAAAGCGGATACATATCAATACAAGTTCAGACTTTGTGTGGGTAACATATAGTAGATTTATAAACTTGGATAATGGCATATTGTTTGAAAATTTATTTTAAGATCCACCTACATGTTTACTGTTTAAGTCAGCGAAATAGTATTCTTACAGATTATAAACACTTAGATAATAAGTTATCACTTGAGACATTTCCTTTTTTTAAATTGTTCTAACTAACAACACTTAATAACACTTCCTTTTGAAATTAAATGTTCACTTTTGTAATAATTATAAGATGCGAAACAAGCATTGTTAATATTTATATAACTCATATCATTTTATTCACGCATTTTAAGTTATTCATATTTTTGTTCGCATGCTTCACAAATGAGTATGAGTAATTTCCTTTATACGAATAAGAGCGCTTGTTTGGATATAGTAATTTAGAGCTATTGTTTTTTTAGGTATTATTCATGCAAATATTTTTTTAAACGCTCTTTAAAACAAGCAAAATCTAGATGTTTTTTTTCAACTTACTACTTCTGATTTATTTTGTGGTTTAATTGATATTCTAACAAGCAAGCTGCATTTCTTATTTCTGCAGACCCACCGAATAAGCCAATATTTCACATAAAGTCAACAGAAGTAAATGGTACAATACAGATCTTTAAGCACAATCAAATCTCGATAACTTGTTCTAGCTCCGGCAGACCTGACGATATAGAATATTCATGGTCCTCAAACACAGGAACAACGTTTGGTGATGTAATGACTGTAAACAGAGTAGAAAATAATGGCCAGTATATATGTTATGCAAAGAACTTTTTAGACCAATCAGATGGTGAAGTTATTGTAGGTTCTAATTCATCGTCAATAACCATTGAAATGTTGTGTAAGTAATTACCTTCTTCAAATCCGTTTTAACTTAAGTAATTAAAGCACGTGACCTGTGATAATTTGTTTATGTTATGTTATAATTGTTTAAACCATTTGTAAAATATAAAAGAATATCAACAAATAAGAAAAAAAAACAGTTTGATGGTTTCTTAAGGTTTAGATACCTTTATTGACATTAAATATGTTTCACAAGATAAATCTAACCCGTTTTCAATATCTCAAAGAATCAAAGAAAGCCTTTGAATTAAAAAATCAAAAATAGTTTATACGTTTGACATGTGATGGTCCTGAAGAATAATTGGTTTTATCGATAATTATTTAACGTTGTTAATCAGCATATTTTTTATCTGTTGTTATTATATAAATTATTAAAGTAAAATAAAATGAAATCTTGTGATGCAGATTATATGAATGAGTTTTATGCAAATGCCTATTTGATTAAAGGAATATAATATTCGTACCTAATTGTGTCTTTTAATATATTATTAGATCCACCAGAAGTAAAAAATATGCAAAATCAAAATATTTTAGAAGGAGATACTCTGTCATTCCCTTGTCCTGTAACAGTTGGTAACCCTTCAATGACATCATTCAAGTGGACAACATCAAATGATACTAGGGTATGGAACACGCAGATCCTAACAATTGTTAATGTGTCGAGAAATGATGCCATGCTTTATTCGTGTGAGGTCGCAAACGTTATGAAAGAAACTGGGAAATTACTACAAATATCTGTTCCTGACAGTAAAACATTCTTTTTGAATGTCATATGTACGTTTTCAAATCACATTTACATATTTTGTCTTACTATAAATAAATAATTAATCGTGTTAATATAACAACTGAAGAGTGGTATAATTATTTTAATAGTTTATTTAATCCCGTTGTTAACAGTGAGTTTGATGATACCACAAACGACAGTGTAATATTTAATGATATTCTTGATTCCGCAATCTCTCCCTCTGAGGTCAGCTGGGCAATAGGTCAACTCAAATTAGGCAAATCAGCTGGTATTGATTGGCAATTACAGCTGAGTTTATTAAAGCCAGCTTCTGACAGACTTATCCCGATTTTATGTTTGTTATATAATAAGCTATACGATAATGGTGGAATTTCCCAACAATTGGTCAATTTCACTTATCAACACCTGTACTTAAAAAAGGGTAACCAAAACGATCGCAAGCAATTATCGTGGAATCAGCTTACTACCTGTACTGAGTAAAATATTACATCCATTGTTAAATAGAAGGCTTGAAGAAATGGTGTGATGCAAACTCTGTATTAGGTGAAGAACAAGGGTGGTTTAGGAGTGGTTTTATAACACTATAGATAATATATTTTGCCTGTGCACCTTTATAACCAAGTATCTACAAAAACCTCAAGGCCGTTTTTATACTTTATTCGTTGATTTTGAAAAAGCATTTGACCGAATTAATAGACAGGCTCTATACAATAAACTATGCTCAAATAATGTTAGTTCAAAGTTTTTAAAAATGATCAAATCGTTATATCATGATATTAAAGCAAGAGTTAAATCCTAATCTGGACTAACAGAAAGTTTTGAATGCCCGTTTGGTGTCAGGCAGGGGTGTACGCTATCACCATTATTATTTTCTCTATTCTTAAATGACCTTAATAATTATGTTAGTGATAGTTGCCATGGTGTCTCATTAGAGCTTAAACAAATATTCACTTTACTTTATGCCGACGATTTAGTTCTAATTGCCGAAACAAAAATAGAGCTTCAGAGAATGATTAATCGGTTAAGGTCGTACTGTGATAATTGGAATCTAAAAATTAATCTCGATAAAACAAAGGTCATTGTCTTCAGGAATGGTGGTTACCTGCGTGCTTATGAAAAATGGTTCTATGGCGTAGAAAATATACAAGTAACGTCTTACTATAAATATTTAGGAATAGTGTTTTCGTCTAGATTATCATGGTATATGTGTCAAAAACATTATCTGAACAAGCAAATAAAGCTATTTTTTCACTTAAAACTAATTCATACAGATTCGGACAACTTCCTGTATCTCTATTGTTCAAAATTTTTGACACAAAAATACAACCTATATTGACATATGGCTCTGAAATTTGGTTTTCTTATGAAGCTAAAGATATTGATATCGTACATAACAAGTTTTGTAAATATGCATTGAAATTAAACTGGTCAACTCCTAATAAGTATGTATATGGAGAGTTGGGCCGTTTTTCACTATATTGTAACAGAGTTCTTAAAGCAATCAATACTGGTTTAGGATTCTAAAAATGAATGAAAATAGATTACCTTTATTATGCTATAAAGTCCAATACCGGTGGGCAGAAAATAACATTGATTGCTGGGCATTTCAAATTAGGCGTGTTCTTTTCATAAATGGATTTGGTCATGTATGGATTAACCAGGGAGTAGGAAATATTGACTTGTTCTGTCGCGAATTATCTCAAAGATTGCGCGATATTGATGTTCAAACATGGCGGGAGGCTCTTGATTCATCTAGTAGACTGCTGTTTTATAAAAGTATTAAAATTGACTTTATAAGAGAATCGTACCTAGATCAAATTGAAAATTCATATTACAGGTCGCTCATTGTAAAAATTAAGAGGCGGTTTACTGCCCTTGGGTTATAACACTGGATTCTTCAATAATATACCAAATTGATCAAAGATATGTCCTCTCTGTTTTACGGGCTTAGACGATGAATATCACATTCTCTTGATTTGTATTCACTTTAATACTATACGTAAAAATATTCTACCAGATATATTGGTGAAAAATCCTTCACGTGAAAAATTTATATCTGTTCTAAGAAACGCAGATGTGACATTATATAAGACTATCGCACGTTTTCTCGATCATGCACTTAAATATGCAAGTAACATGTAATCAAATAAAAACTTAAACACATTCTATGTGATATCAATTTGCTTCACAACGATTTCTCAATCATTCTTAAAATATCAAATATAATTTTCATTAAAATATTCATTTTTCAACACATTTTTTAATATCTTCTCTTCTTTATTAAAATATTTTTTTCTATTTTATTTTGAAGATGGAACAACTATAAATGCCTTTTTTGTTGCTCGATTTGCCAATATAATGTCAGTAACAGTTAACGAAACAGAAAATGTGCATTTGCATTGCAATGCGGAAAGCAACCCTAGATCTGATATTGTCATTAAAAATCAAACAGGGTATGCCATGAAATCAGGTTCTGATGTGAACAATTTAAACCATTTACTGTTATCAGTTACCTGTCTCGACGCTGGAACTTACACGTGCTCAGGATCAAATGGCTATGGTACTAGGGAATCAATGGAACAATTAACTCTATATGTAAATTGTAAGTAAAGGAATTTAACATTTTAAACATTAACATTATCACATACTATACTTTTGTTTAAAAAGTATTTGACAAAAGAGAATAGTTTTCATTTAAGCTATGCAATACATAGTTCGTAAGTATTTTGTATGTAACAACTGTATAAAGATTTTGAATTTTGATTTGAAAGTGTACCATTCGTGGAGGGAATTTTAGAGGTTTTAACTCATGAATTCAGATATAGAAACAATCGATATTCGTTTCAGGTGCACCAATGCTGTCTCCAAAGCTACAAATAAAAACAGCTATAAGGACTGCTGAGCACAATTCTGCAGTATTAACGTTTAGGACAGTCGCTTATCCAAAGCCCTTTAAAGAAGACTTTTTATGGTTTAGGTGGTATAATAATGAATGGAAACCCCTGAAAAATAACCAAGCATTTCAAATAGACATTGAAGCTTTAGAGTCAAATTTAACTGTTTATAACGTGAACAAGACCGTTTATGGAATATACAAGATCATTGTTAAGAATACTATGGGGCAGTATGAGCAGATGTTTCTTCTACAGCCTGATGGTAATAAGTACATTTAATACACATTTTGTTCTATTCAATTTTTCAACAATCGTGAAAATCTTATTTATTATTTATTCATTTTTTTATTCATTTATTTATTTGTTTATTTATTTATAAATCTACTTATTGATTAAAATTAACTATGTAATAATGATCATTAAAATTGATGAATTGATGAATTAATTTATTATTAGTATTATTCAACAATTATCAACATAATATATTAAGGCGCTCTCTATGTAAGGGATTGAGTCATTAGGTATATGAAAATTGTTTTCTTTGATTTCAGAGAGCCAACTTCAAAGCAGTTGTCCCGAATCAAAGTCTATCATTACTGGGGTTGTTCTAGGAGTAGTTATCGCTGCGCTGGCACTATATGCGGGTTATCTTACTTTTTTGTTAAAACGAACAGGTTTTCATGAAGGTATTTAAAAACACTTTTAAAGTACATGAAAACAAGCTGGAGTTAAACTTATTTACACCACATATCAATAAAAACAACGAATTTAATTTATAACGATAAGAGCTATTGGAAATTGAAATGAGACATATTACATTAATTTTATTATTGTTGACTTTCTATCAGATGTTGAGAAAATATATCTTTAAGGGTTATACTTTAGTTAACCTCAGATGTACTGTCTTGGATTAGTATTTGCAATTAACTTCATTTCAAGTTAAATATACTGCACTTTTTTTGTAACAGTAGTATTTACGACCGTAAATTGTGTTTCCCGATAAACAATAAATATTTTTTCTTTTTCTCTGAACTGAAAATAACATTCAATGTACCAGTTGAAAAACAGTTCGTGTTCCACCTTAATGTTAAACATTACAACTTTAAATCTCTTTTCCTATTCTTTTCGAAAATCCCACACACTTATCATGTATTTTTAGGACTTATTTCATCCATAATTGATTTGCTGTATAGAACATTTTGTGTTACAGGTCCAGCACAATCCAGGAATCCAACCGATAATATGTAAGTTTTAAAATATCTACAGACATCAACTATGTCACACATAAACCGATATTTATTGTAACACGTAATTCTAAAACGTTCTTTTTATGGACTGAAATTTATATACAATGTATGATAATCCTTTGTTCTCAAATACTTTTTGTACTCTAAGTAATGTTTTTTTCATGAATCACATCTTAAGCCACAATTTTATATAGATATCAACATATAATTGAAGAGTTTTTACTTGTAAATTAAATCTTTACTTCTATTATTTCAGAACGAATATATCAACATATGCTAATCTAGCGTTCTCTACAGATGTCACTTCTCAGCAACAAAGCTTAGATGTACAAGAACCAAGCGTTTCTGAATATACATCACTTGATGAAAAGTTAAGAAATGAAAATATGGCATATGAAACATTAGATACCGCTAGTTGAGACAAACGTTATGAGATTAATTTTTTCAAATGTGTGCTGTTCTATGATGCAAAATATCATCTATATTTACTTACTTCTTATCATTGCTAATATTTGTATGAATGTTCTTTGTGATTAACCTACTGTTTCATCCGGTATATAGCAGTTCATCTCACAGTTTTTCTTTACCTTAAAATGACTCTATATAGTCAAGTAGGTGTTAAACACTTCTAAGAGCGAATTCACGCTTTGAAATGCTATAGTCAGTCAATTTGATGTATTTTCCTTTTAAAAGCTATGTGAATTTCTTGTGTTTGCATACAACTGTTAATATATGTATATATATTTTAAATAAATCATGCCAAGCATGTGCATGTTAAACACGTGAAAAATAGCACGAACTTCAGTCAGAATCGCAATATGTCAATGGCGCAATATGTTTTCTTACAGGCGTTTTTTATATCAGGAAAAATAACGATATCGCTATTCGAAAATGAAACAAATGATAATTAACTTCAAAAAAGATTAAATATCTCTATATAAAGTGTTTTACCCCTGTAATAACACTTTTTTAAGGATAAAAAAATTTGATCAAAATAAAAATAATTGGATGCCGTAAAAAGATAGGATATTGGTAAGATATCCGCGACTCATTTAACACATTTTTAAAATGTTTCAAAATAACTATATTAGTTATGAACTTAAAACAGTTATATTTTTATGTATATTCAAAGAATTAAATCTTAGCAATTGTAAGTTACATGTCATATAATTATAACTTAGAAGGGAAGTTTTTCAGATACATTTTGAATTGACGACACACACTCCTTTAGATATGGCTCTAGATACAACCATCTTATACTAAGAAAGTCAGAGCAGTCGGTTTTATACATACACTTCGTGATATACATTGTATCAAATGACATACTTTTGTGAATAGTATAACAAAATATTTAAGTTAGCATAGCTGATGATATCTATATTCCGTCATATTCTTATACACATCTTATTTACGTACCATTCATTTGTAAGATAGGCGTAACATGCTGAAAACGTTTTCATTAAACTATTATCTATTTTAAATTTAATGGTATATTTTTATTTTTGACCTGGGTCAGAAAAAATGTACAGATAACGAAAGACATAGCGAAATTCCCAACATGTTTTACAAATATGAGCATGGCCCAAAACATCTATTCTCCCCCATATTCTTTTCCAATTTGGTTATGAACATAACCCTAGCTATTAAAAACATGAATTATTGTGTATTTATAAATGTTATAAATGTATATGGGAAAGCTATTTAAAATGTAGGGATAGTACGGGATGGTTCCGCAGCCATACTTATCATTTGGATGGGTCACCTTTATTGTTTGGTCCCAAAATAAAAGATCAATTTGCATGGACCTACGAGTTATTTCTTTTTTCTTTTACTATTAACTTAATATGTGAAAAATGCATCTTTTAATGTAGCGTTTAAAATTTTTATTGGGAAAGATTTTGCCCTAAAAATTTAAAAAGCCATAAAAAATTTGTTTGGATAGATTTTTTTAGATTATTATTTTTTTAATAAAAAATTTCATCCCCAAAGTTTAAAACAATTTTACAAAATTTATAAAAATTTAATTTATATAAGATAGTTTGAAAAAAGAAAATAAAAAAAAACATATTGAGATTATTCTGATTTTCTGTATTGCGTTAAGCTTACAAAGATGAAGTATCTTTAAAAAAGATACTTGGCCGAAGTAAAACTTGTTAACATGCAGAATTATGTTATTTCTAAGTTGTCAATACAAAAAGAAATGTTTGCAATGCTTGCATACCAATGACATAATAATTATTTCTTGTAGCTAAGAAAATTCCCATTTTGTTTACATTGAAATTATATTATAGCATATTGATATTGGTGATTCTTCAAAGTAGGAATCTTTTATTTTAAGTGCCACTTTTACTTGTTTTAGGTTTCATTTTATAAATGTTGTAATCATTTACAAATTAACCTAAGAATTAATCACTATCATCATTCCTGTACATTTTATTTAGAACTTTCATATATATTCTATTTTATAGTAATAATCCTTTACATTTTATATAAGAGCTTTCCTTAAAATTTTAGTTCAGAATTGTAGGAACTATCCTTTACATTTTATTGTAGAATGGTAAGAACTATCTTTTACATTTAATTTTTAAATGACAAATGAGATTCACCGATTTCAGTTTGTAAATTAAAATTATTCTTATAATCAGTCCTTCCCTGTAAATTTACCAGGAAGTCAAACTGATAAAAGACAGACTTCGTCCAAAAAATATGAAAAAGGAATGAACGAGTACTTCTGTTTAATTTATCATACGTTACATTGCGTTGAGAAATGTATAAATTCATCTTGACTAGTGTTGCGATATAAGAATAAACGCCAAATATTTCGTAGTATGAAGGGTTAATGCAAGCAATATACAGTAAAATAATGCGAAGTATTTAAATCACATGTATTTACATACTGACATAAGTATACAAACAATTTGGCATTCAAAACAATCAGTGTACAGTTAATGTAAAAAATATTATCTATATAACATTAATGTTGTTTGCTTTAAAAAAAAAAACAAAAAAAAAACAGCCAAGAAACTTTTTTATAACATCATTTCAAATCATATAACCGAAAGTGCTTTAAGAATTAACAGATCATGCCTGAAACTGTTTTGGAGGAATGAAAATATACACAGCTACACTTGTGACATAACCAAGATGATATTTAGCCTCACCATCATAAATGTCAGGAGAAGTAACAGGACCGATAAGTGGAGATGGAAATCGCTTTCATGACAGGATATCGCGGGATAAGTAGTAGTACTGTTAAACCTGCAATTAAAATTAACACAATAAAATGCTAATATAATAATAAATACAAATATAAACTCAAGTTAAATTCCGCATTGCCATATAATAGCAATAATATTTTAATATTATATGATATTGACAATAGTTATGTAAAAATGCTACTACTTTAAGTGTTTTTAACTCTAAATGTTGCATGTCGACTAGATACAACACAGTTCTTTTTTTTTCATAGACTAATTGTACCGTTGCTGAAAAATATAATAATAATAATCATTGAACCATTGTCAATATCATTTACAGTAATATATTCAATTTTACAGTTCCTATCCCGCTGGTTCGGATGATAACTCCTCAATCAGATGATATGCTTACTATCGACGAAGGTGTTTTAAGTCAATTCAAATGTGTAACATCTGGAGGACTACCTGAACCAACTGTAAAATGGTACACTAATTCTAGAACACCTTCTGATACCATTGATGATATAGCGATACATATGACGCTTATTTCAACATATATTCAGTCAAATGATGACCTGATAATTACAACCAGTGTATTGACAATGGTTATATCAAAATATGATGATCAAACTAGGATATATTGCTCTGCATAAAGTTCTCCTGATATGGCACCAATATATTCTGCACGAAAACCGATGCTGAATGTTCTACGTAGGTCCTATCTGTTGCTACATATGTTGTCAGTGTGTTCGTTTCCAATCTAAGAATATAAATATCTGATATTTAACCATTAAACTTGTTTCAAAATATGTAAATGAGTAAATCAGTTACAAAAAAGAAACATAATGTACACGTAAGTAATGAATTTTTTAAGCTCGATATTATCATGAAAAGTTTGGATTGTTAAATGACATACTCTCATTTAACTTTTTCAAATAAAGTGTAAAGAAAAACAGTCATCAAGATTTTAACGCCAAATACCTTTTCATTTTAGTATAAGAATCTTTTATAAAAATGAAAGAAACAACATGTCTTAAGTATCTATATTGCAAATTTATAGATCGTCCAGATGGGCCAGCGGCCATTAAAGGGTTTAAGAAAGGCATTCCATATCGTGTTTTAGAAAATAAATAAGGACAACTTACTTGTTTCATCAAAGGTGGCAATCCACAACCAATTCTTACTTGGATCTGTTACAATTTAGTTACAACAGACAAGGATGATGATAATACAGTCTCCAAGACAGCTAGATGGATAGCGAGACGCGGTCCAGACACAAATTGCAACTGCTACTATTCCCATCCAAAACGAAGCGGATACATATCGATACAATTTCAGACCTTATGTAATGTAAAGTTAATAATTGTATGTAAAGTTACAGTTAACAAACACTCACCAACTTAGAAGTTGAAATAATGCTTTGGATATTTGCACAATGCTTGTATTTGTCAGGAGAATTGATGTTAATTAATGTAAGGAAAGATTTAGTAATAAAAATTAGAACAAATTTCCAAGATATGGTGGCACCGCCTGACTTAAAATTGAAATATTCCCAGTTTGAAAACAAGCATTAAATTGTTTAGTTAAAACTTTCTTTTATGTATTTTTATCCTTTTGTTTTATCTCAAATCCCTATTTACATTAATACAACAAACCCTGATCATTACGTACACCCAAAACAAAGAACTCTGATCATTATTTAGACCCATCATTTATCAACCGCTTATACGGAATATCTGTTCATGTTTATAAGTTTTTTATTATATGATATCACTAGAAACCTGGCGAGCCTAAGCACTAAATAACTTCTGATAAAACAAAACAATAAAATCGCCAGAAAATGAATACATGTAATACAAAATGAATTATTTTACAACTCGAAGATACAGTATTAACCACAAACATTCAATCAACAATATTAACTTTACAAAATCTAACAACTTATTTGGTTTAAACACATTTTTATTCAAGGTAATATAGTCTAACTTATTTAAACAACTTATTTAAAGATTAAAACACCCAATATTTATAAATATCTTCAAACGCAAAGCATCAACTATATATTCTTGACCAGACAAAAATCACTCCAAACATTCGACCAATAGCAACCAAATATTTTTACTAAACAGATATAACTCAACAACCTAAGATGATGCAACAACCAAAACAACTAATTTCAACTAATGGCCCCAGATCAATAAGGTCACCACAATGAAATTCAACCAGCTTCAACAAATCAACAAAACTCCCTTCAAATAAAACAATATTCTCTTCTCTAAAACATAAACGCTACACACTACAAGTGGGCCTTTCCTAAACTCGCATATTTGTTAAGTTAACATTTCACATGTAGAATTTTATACGTTTAAAAATAATTGTTCATTGAAATATGATACACTTCAGTGTATTGCTATAGGAAGACATTAACTCGTTGTAAAAAATATCTACATTAAAACAGTACGATTATTTTGACAGTGTTATACTTTCAATGTTTTATTGACCAGTTAGTATCAATTAGATAATACAATGTATGCATTTGAAAAATTGAAGTTTTTTTTAGTTCTCAAAGATCAGCAATGACTCTCTCATTTTGGTAAAACATTTTCATTTTTTTTTACAAATGAACTTGTTTATCCACCTAATCTTTAGTGTAAACATTGTTTATTATACTCACCGATAGTCAATATTATCACTTTGGACATCACTTGACATTTTTTTTTAAATTTTCAATTGTGATATGTAAGTACACTTTATAAGACTTCCTATGAATATGAAACTGTCGCAAATACTTCTTCTAGAATTTGTAACAATTGTTGATATCTATAGGAATAACGTTACTAAACCTTCTTTGACTTTTTACAACATCAAGTATCAACCCACGATTATTTACATGTAGCAGCTTTAAAAGTCACTTCATTACAGTGTTGTTATTTATCCAATTTTATTTTATTCCATAAATATTACCGATTCCAAGGTTTGTGATGAGAATGAGAAAACTATATCTGCCGGTTTAAGGGTCTGTGAGAATTTACTCACTTTTTTATTATCTCTACTTAATAGACTAAAGAAAAGTCAATGTGTGGCTTTTACCTATTTAATTTTTTTTATTGATTTACAGGTAATTGTCAGTTTTGATTTGCAGGTAATTGTCAGTTTATAGTTTTTTACTCACAACAGCAGGTGTTAAGAGTGATGATGCAGATGTTTAAAGGTTCATCATACAAAATAAATAAGTGTATATTTCTGGGAAATAAGAATAGCTTGTCCCATTAAATGTTTTACTGAAGATTAAATACCAGTACTATGTAAGATGGTGATATTGGGCGGCGTAAGAGATGTTTCATTTTACATTATATCACAAAAACACACTAGATTAAGTTTAATTATATATTTATTTGCGTTCTCATCTTTGGCTTAAGGTATTGTGTTTACAGTTTGTTCTCTCATTATCAAATAAAAAATGTCAGCTATTTATGTACAAATATTAACAAACATTGTTCCATGTTTTAAAAAACTACTATTCATATTATTGCAGACCCACCAAATAAACCAATATTTCACGTGAATTACGTAAAAGGCACCATACAGGTCGTTAAACACAATTCAGTCTAAATAAATTGCTCAAGCTCCGGAAGTCCTAACGACATAGAATATTCATGGTTATCAAACAGAAGAACAACGTTTGGTAATGTTACGACTGTAAACAGAGTAGAGAATAATGGCCGATATATATGTTATGCAAAAAACGTCTTAGACCAATCAAATGGTGAAGTTATTGTAGGTTCTAATTCATCGTCAATAACCATTGAAATGCTGTGTTTCAAATCCATATTAACTTAAGTAATTAAAGCACGTGACCTGTGACAATTTTGCTACTTTTATGTTATAATTGTTTTTATAAAAGGAATATCGACAAATAAGAAGAAAAAAACAGTAAGATCGATATTTTAAGCTTTAGATGCCTTTCTTGTATGAATATTGACATAAAGTATGATTCCCATGTCAAGCTAATTTAAAACAAGGTGACACTTAAGTAGCTGATATTAAGGAGGGATACTTTTTCTCATAAAACATAGAAACTAGATAATAAATAAACATGGCTAGACCGCATATTTTTATCCGTTCTTATTGTATCAATTATTGAAGAAAAATAGAATTTAGTGACACTGATAAGATGAATAAGTTTTAAAAAAAAATGCCTATTTGATTGGCAAAATGTGACAGAATGTGATTTTTATACCTAATTTTGTCTCTTAATACTTTATCAGATCCACCAGTGGTAAGAAGTAAAAACAACCGAAGTATTTTAGAAGGAGATACTCTGTCATTCCCTTGTCCTGTAACAGTTGGTAACCCTTCAATGACATCATTCAAGTGGACAACATCAGATGATACCAGGATATGGAACACGCAGATCCTAACAATTGTTAATGTGTCGAGAAATGATGCCATGCTTTATTCGTGTGAGGTCGCAAACGTTATGAAAGAAACTGGGAAATTACTACAAATATCTGTTCCTGACAGTAAAACGTTCTTTTTGAATGTAATGTGTACGTTGTGAAATCACATTTACATATTTTTTACTTACTTTACATAAATAATATAAAGCACTTCTTCATTGAAACTATGCAAGTTACATGTAATCAAATACAAACTAAAACACATTTTATGTGATATTAATTTGCTTCACAACAATTTCTGATGTCTGAAATTTCAAATATTATTTTCATTAAAATATTCACTTACAAATGCATAAACGTTTTGTTAACATCTTCTATTCTTTATTAAAAAAATTTTCTAATGAAGATGAAACAACTGTAAAGGAATTTTTTGTGGCTGGATTTGCCGATATAAAGTCAGTAACAGTTAAGGAAACAGAAAATGTGCATTTGCATTGCAATGCGGAAAGCAACCCTAGATCTGATATTGTCATTAAAAATCAAACAGGGTATGTCATGAAATCAGGTTCTGATGTGAACAATTTAAACCATTTACTGTTATCAGTTACCTGTCTCGACGCTGGAACTTACACGTGCTCAGGATCAAATGGCTATGGTACGAAGGAATCAATGAAACAATTCACACTATATGTAAAATGTTAGTGAAGTAATTTAAAATTTTAAACATTTGAATTATCATATACTTAATTTATATTTAAAAAATATTCGACAAAAAAATTGTTTTTATTTAAGCGCAATATAGCGTTCGTAAGTATCTTGTATCTTTCAACTGTATAAAGATTTGGAATTTTGATTTGAAAATGTACCACTCTTAAAGGGTTTTTAGAGTGGTTTTAACTCATGAATTCAGATATAGAAACAATCGATATTTATTTCAGGTGCACCAATGCTGTCTCGTTATCTACATATCAAAACAGCTATTAGGACGGCTGAGCATAATTCTGCAGTATTTACATTTAAGACAGTCGCGTATCCAAAGCCATCTAAAGAAGACTTTTATTGGTTTAGGTGGTATAATAATGAATGGAAACCCCTGAAGAATAACACAACATTTCGATTAGACACTGAAGCTTTAGAGTCAAATTTAACTGTTTATAACGTGAACAAGACCGTGTATGGAATATACAAGCTTATTGTAAAGAATACTATGGGGCAGTATGAGCAAATGTTTCTTCTACAGCCTGAAGAAGTAAAGAATTTTTGATTTCAGAGAGCCATCTTCAAAGCAGTTGTCCCGAATCATTACTAGTCTATCATTACTGGGGTTGTTCTAGGAGTAGTTATCGCTGCACTGGCACTATATGCAAGTTATTTAACATTGTTGATGAAAAGAACAGGTTTTCACGAAGGGTTCTAAAACTAATTTTAAAGATCAATACAGGAGACAAACTAGGTTCAACTTGTTTAATATACATATCAATAAAAACTCCGAAACTAGTTTATTACAATAAGTGCCATTTGAAATTGAAATAACACATACTGCAATGACTATTAACTACTGTTTATTAGATGATGAGAAAATGTATCTTTAAAGGTTATATTTTAGTAAAATCCAGGTGACCTATGTCTTTGTTTAATATTTAAAATTAGTTTCTTACCGAAAATATGTAAGTTAAAAATATCTTTATACATCTATTTTTGGACATTGTAACACGTTATGCCTAAAAGTTCATTTTATGAAGTGAAATCTATATACAAGTATGAAAATCTTTTTTCAAACAGTTTTTTAACCCTTTGTAATATTTTACATAAATCACACCTTAAGCCAAAATTTTATATATATATATCAACGCATAATTGCTGAAACAGTTTTTTACTTATAAATTAAATCTTAACTACTAATTTTCAGAACGAATAGATCTACATATGCTAATACGAGGGTTGTTCAAAAAGTAATAGGACTAAGAGTCTTGCATCTTCATATTCAATTTAATTTAGAATATGTTTATATGTACAGCGATCGAAATATGTTTTCTTCAATTTAAGCATAAAATTATTGAATTCTTGTGCTTAACGCTTGTTCCCTGTGTTATTGAATAACCATGGTAACACGCACCCGGCGCAACACATAAAAAAGTTATTGAAGCTTACTTGTACTTTTATTGTATTCATAATTTATTGCCTTTTTTCCCCATTTATTCCACCAACACAATTATTTTTATTTAATTGACATTATGCCCAAATTTGACGTCATTCAGACATGAAATGGCTAAATCATCAAGTTTTGAACAGCAGTGGTCATAACGTTAAATGTAGAAATTTGACGTTCGTTAAATAACTGAAATGTGTGAAATCGTTTAACTTTGCCAACAAATTGGCGATACTCCTTCAGATACATACGAAAACATAAAATTAACACATTACTATTAATCGGCTATCAGGATACTCGTTCTCAGCTTGCGTAAGCAATTCAAAAACGGCACATATGAGATCACAAACAGAAAGGATGAGAATGATAGCGGGAAATTCACGGGACGTTAGTGACGTCAAATGAATAAGCGCTACAAAATGATCGATGGTAATTAGTCCACGAACTGTCAGGCATGTTTGATTTCTGCACCCGGTCTATTGATTCAGTTCTGCCCAAATGATTTGTTTCAAATAAAATTCTATCTCATTTAACTAGATATACGTGTTATCAATAAGTAATGTAATAATGATTTGATTAACGGTAATTATTAATATTTCTCTCCGATTTTCTTTTTAAGATGATACGCTGTTCCTAGTAGGAAACTATACTTTTCAGATGATAAATATTGTTATTTCACTTATATCACATTGTTTTAAGAACGTACGATGATATGTGTAAATAAATTATATAAATCGCTTTTTCATTAACATCATAAATTCATGTTTGTTTAATTTATGTTGATTACTATAAGAACATAAGAATACGAGAAAAGCGGAGAGTGGCCGGCTATCGAGCTTTTTTTCGTTTTTTCGGAGAGTGGAACGAGAATGTGATCGTTTATTTTCTTGCTTCATCTCCACAAATGAGGCCTGGTCGAAGTTATATGATTTAGACACCTAGAACTCTAGGGAGAATTATTTCAGAAGGGATGACGCTTGTTACATTTTGTTTTTATTTTACGACGTCATAAACGTCATTTATTGTGCTGTTAGCGTGCGCCGGGTCGCGTACCCCTTGTCATTTGAAATTTTTAAACATATTTTATTGATTTTTTTCACTGTATATAGAAGATATATTTCGATATTATTATCTTGTAAAATTGTGCACGTAAATTAAAAAATGTGAACAGTAGAACTGCAGTCCTATTACTTTTTGAACAACCCTCGTATATCATCCCCTACAGATGTTACTGCTCAACAAGAAAGCTTTTTATAGATGTAAAAGAAGCAGGCGTTTCTGAATATACATCACTTGATGAAAAGCTAAGAAATGAAATTTTGGCATGTGAAACATTAGATGCCGTCAGTGAAGACAAGCATTATGGCATTTTTTTTTTAATTTTGTGAGGTATAATACAAAATATTATCTGTATTTACTTCTTTATATTGTTAATATTTGTATGAATGCTCTTTGTGATTAACTTACTTTTTCATTCGTTATCTGACCGTTTTGGTGTACCTTCAACTGACTTCAATAGCGGGCAGTCTATCTAGACAAGTAGGAGTTAAACACTTTAACGGACGAACAGCTATATTCAGCCAATTTGTTGTATTTTTCCTCCTCGTTTTAAAAGTGATGTGTATTCGATGTGTTCGCATACAACTGTTTATATATAGGTATATATTAATCAATAAATCATGTCAAGCACGTACATGTTAGAAACGTGAACAAGGACTTCAGTGAACAAGAACTTCAACCAAAATCGTAATACGTCAATGTCGCAATATGTATTCTTTACAGACGTTTTTATATCAGGTAAAAGTAACGATCCAGCTTTTCGAAAATAGAAAAGGATAATTACTTCAAAATTGATTAAATATTTGTATTATAATACAAAATGATTTACTCCTTTTTCATATTGCCTCAGGTTACTGTACACTTAGGTTTGCATTGAACGCCGTACAGTGACATACTTCTGGCTCAAAATTCATATTTTGGTTAATATTTCGTATAATTATAGATTAAATGGAAAAATTGATATATGAGCGGGGAAATGGTCGGAAAGAGATTTGTCTAGACAGTTTAATGATGAATCATTCTAAAGCTGTGATAGTTTCATTCTGATTTAAGCAATTTTCATAACGGAGGAATAAAAGAAAATATAAAGATAAAATGGGCAAAGGAACTCCACTAGGTCCGAAATCCAAAACGAAATCATAAAATTTGAATTTCATTCAGCTAAGACAGCATCCAGGCACACTGGACCAGCTAAAAGGTATTGTAGGGCTACAAACAAAACATTTGTTAAAAGGATTAAATTGTCGGATGCAAGTTACATCAATCTTGCTGAAATCAACAAACGAAAATGAACAACTATATTGTATTATGTAATAACCACCAAAGATGCAATTTTAATCAGAGGGCGGTTAAAGCGAACAAAGGTAGTTGTTGATAAGAGAGATGGATCCAATTAGAATCGGGTGGAAATACGTATGGTGAAAGAAAACACACATGATAAAGTATATAAACAAGACAATCAAAAATGCCAAAAAAAAAGATAATGACAAATAAGTGATAACACGACATACATGAAAAAACAAGGATGTACACAACATATTGTTTAATAATAAGGCACCTAAATGATGGTAAAAAATTATGAAAGGTGGAGAGAAACAACTGTTGCAATTATTTTATGCGTTACATTCGGTTCGATCTTTTTTAAGTCTTTAAAGATTTTGTAATCAAAAAATTGAAATTCAACCTTGAATATTTCTATATTGTAACATTTTTGAAATCTTTAAAAATGTGAGTAAACAATAAATTGGGCATTATTGTAAATTATCTTTTGATAAATCTTTACCAAGGTGAAGCAAAGCCTGCACTATCATCAACACCGAACTTCTTCTTCTGTTATAATTGTTTCTTACTTAGAACTATACTAAGCGCTAGTATATAATCGCAGTTGTCGAATGTAAAAACAATTTGGATGTCCTGTTCGGTATCATAATATTATTCCAATAGTAGAAATACAATAGGCATAACAAAAAGTATTTTTTGACTGAATAAATTTATTTGTTTTCAGCTTTTGGCAACATCGCTGATCCTGTTAGACATAACTTTTCAAAATCACCAAATTCAGACACTTATGTAACTGCTGTAAATAGAGATTTTAGTGTTTGCAACAAACATAATATTTGGAGGATTATGTGAATAACAATCATGTGTTGCAATCGCATTTTCAGACATTTATACCGAGTTTTGTTTTAAATAAAATTATTTTAAAATAATCTTTATAAAACTCGAAAACTAGTACCATGTGAAACTGTTATTATTTAGATAACTTGGATTAAATATGTGAATTCGTGCTTTTTCTGTCTTCAATAGTTCATTACCGCACGAGTAACTTCATTGAGACATTAAGTTCATAGAACAGTAAAATAGAAAAAAAACATAATCCCTAAAGAATGCCCAAAATAAGATATATGCATCAAATTTAGCGTATTTATGTTATATAACTTTTTAAGCCCAATTGTGGAAGTTTATAATCATCAAAAATTCAAATGTTAAATATTAATAAAAAAAAACGATTATTGACAAGATTCTCTTTATTCATTCACACTCTCTTGACACCAGAAACGCATGACTTAATTTTATGAGCACCTGCAATTTTTCATCAAATGATTGAAACGTTTAAACTGGATGGTTAGTTACTTATAGTCAGTTACATAATCAATTTCATCATTTGAAGATTATTTTTTTTATTTTTTTATTTTTTGAATTCTGTACTTCAATGGATAAGGAGATGATGTAAGTTGAACACAAGGTAATTTGTTTTGTTTTGATATATTTGTTGACTAAAGTCTTAAGATGTTTGTATTCTTTTTTCTCCTTAATTTGTTTTTTTTTCAATAAACAATAAAGCTAGTCCTTTTATATTCAACTTCTGCAATTAGCTTTATCAAAACCAGCCAAAATCATTATTACTCGTTTAAGTCAATGGATAGGTTTATATATGGTGGGTAAATATATTTAGCATTTGCCCTGCAATTTCAAGTACTTCCATTGTGTATTTTCATTGTGAGTTAACTGAAAGGGTTTGTTTAACGAAAAGTATTCCTAAGATAAGTCATCGTTACAGAAACGTTAAAGTGCCTCCAATAAGTAAGATCATGATGTGCAAGTCGACTAATTTTTTTTGGATTGAATTAGCCGTTATAATATAATACAAATCAATTTATTCTATTAAAAAAACGTTTTTTTTCCGCCGAACCTTTTCTTGAAGTTTTAGTCAGTGCTAAAGGTATCTTTACATTTGTCTTTTGACAAAAATTCGCCAAGACAAAAACTCTTTTTAGTTTGTTTGTGATATAGTTTGTTTTTATTAATTTAATCAATACTTAATAAAATACAAAAGTTTAGGTAATATATATTCGTTTGTTTATATTTTGTTCAGTTGTCCATTGCAATTTATATTTGAAA